GGGGGGGGGGAAGAAAAACGGTCCAGGACCCTTCCCAATTGAGGAGCCAAGCCCCCAAAATTGTTTCGGGGGGTTTCAGGCCCATTTGTGCTTTCTTTGGGGGTCCGGACATGCTCTCTCCTGTCTCTTATACACATCTAGATGTGTATAAGAGACAGGTATAAGGGTGTTGGGGACAGGTATGGTATGGGGGTATTGGTGGGGTTATTCAGGGTTCTGGGGCCAATTTCTGTTTTTGTCTTTTCTTTTCTTTTTCTAAGCGGCGTGCTGACCACCCCTGACCGGGAGGTCCTGGTTTTGGGTATGAGGGTGTTTGGGGGCGGTTTGGAGGTGTTGGGGGGTGTTATGTGGGTTTGGGTGCGGGTATGGGGGTATTGGTGGCGTTATTTGGGGTTCTGGGCCCAATTTTTCTATTTTTCTTTTTATGTTTTTTTTTTTAGCGGGGTGCCGACTACCCCCTACCTGGAGGTGCTGACCGGTCGGCTGGTCAGCAGCCGACTGTCGGTGTATGCAACAGTGACTGCGCCCGAATCATATGATTCCAGAGCTGCTGTTCGAGAGTGCCATTCGCTACACTCGCTCTCGAACCGGGCACTCTCGTTTCCGAAGTAGACACAGACTGATTTTCGGGAGTGCAGTGTGGCAAATCGAGAGTGCCGTTTGCCACTCCCTTTCGAACCGGGCACTCGCGGCTTCCAAAGTAGACCCAGAATGCTTTTCAGGAGTGCAGTGTAGCGAAGCCTGCACTTTCGGCATCCTGAATATGCCCAGTAATGTGGGCCAGGGAGGCTCTCCGAATTTGAGATCACTCCCGAGCACTACATTAAAAAACCTCCTCAATTTCGGGCCGAACTCAGCACTCCATCAGAGGTCTCCCAAACTTCACAGGTTGCAGGCTGGGGCGGGAAGAAGGAAGTTGGAGAGTACTCTCGAATGCTTGCAGTCCCGAAAATGTTGAATTTGGGAGTGGTGTGGCAAGGCCCTACATCTTGCGGGATAAGGGAGAACATGCAAAAGGACAGGACAAAATGCAAAAAGGAGAAACTGGCGCTAAAAGCCACAATAGCCAAATGACCCCGTGTACTTGCATTTGAGCAACTCTGGCTCCTCGATGCGAAGGCAGCTCCGGGGAAAGAAAAGAGAACAGGCAAAAACAAAATCGGGGGGGGGGGGGGGGGGGGGGGGAGGAATAGAAACTGAACAAGAACTTCAGAAGGGCGACAATGGGGTGCATGCGCTTTCTCTGCGGTGCTGGCACTGGGCCCAACCAGATTCCATTGCCCATTGGGACAGCTGTACATGACACTGGACTTTAACAAGATTATAGAAATATGTTCAGGTCTTGAGAACCAGCTGCCTACTCCTTTCTTGCCATGGCTTTTTTTTTCTTCTTCTTTTTTCCCTTGTGGCTTGCCCGGTCGTCTAGGAGTCTTTGTGCTCTCATTTCTTTTGCTCCGCTTGCTAACATCAGATTGGGGGGCAATGAGGGGCCCTGGGGGAAGAGAGGTCTCCATCTGCCGTGTCTTATGAAATTCCATCTGCTCTGTCTTCTTTTTAGACTTTTTGTCTGCTTACTGTCTGGGTTTTCCTAGGAAGGGTTTTCTGCCGAAAATTCTAATTGTTCTCTATCCTCTCTTCTTTTCTGCTTGATGACATCAGGTTGCCAAGGAAGGGCTTGCTGCTAGAGTTGTGGATGAGCATCAAGTGGGGAGATTGTTCTCCAACCAAGATTTGGAAGATCTGTTTGTCCTCGATGACGATCAAGATGGGATCGTGTATCAGGATGGTGCGGTGGACGAAAACGACTCCACGCTTGTGAATTTGCAAGAGCAGCAGGCATGGGGAAATCATGCGTCGAATAGGAACTCGGAGGATCAGAAAGAGCGGGAAAGCGAAGCGAAACTCCGGGGACGGGGATTCCTATTGATGAGCGCGAGTGACAGCCCGTGCAACTCGCATGAAGAGAAGATCGCCAAGGCAAAAGTCGTACGGAAGAAATTAGCCGCTGCAAGGGATGCACTCAGGAAGGGTGTTGTCCCGCCGACGGCGGACTTGGAGAACATTGGACTTCGGTTCAATGGCGGGCGAGCGAACGTCGATCCTCTCGGGCCCGAAGGTAATGGGATTTGGCCAAAGGATGCTGGAGACGGCAAAGGCGGTCCATGTGCTGCTGACAAGATTCTTAGCGGACCTGGCAGTGTGAGTGGGAAGAGGGTCTTGCCTGCGTTTACCATACCGACGGACAAACCCCCGAGGGACGACCTTCTTGGGAAGCTGCTGCTGGAACACAGACCAAGGTATTGTGGCGGTGGCATTTCACGAAGCTCTACTCCCCCTGGTGCTTTCAAATTTGAACCAGATGTAGTCTGTGTACCCTGTGGAGACGTACCTTTTCCTCTTTTTTTTGTTCAAAAGGGCGATGGGCTTGAGATATCAGCATTGAGCTGACCGGCGCCAGGCAATTCAGAAACATTTCATTCTTTCTCATCAACTACCATTATCTGGATTCAAACTCGGGTCCGTATTTCAACAGTTCATGGGTGTGGTCCCCACTGAGCTAGGCTCTCGGGTGCTGTGGAGACTTTTCTAAGTTTTCTTTTGTCTCTTTTATCTTTTTCCCGGAGACGCTTTTTTTACTCTGCAAGGACTTTGGACAGTATAGGAGATGGTAATTGAAGGGAGGGGAAAAGGAAAAACGTTAAAAAACGGAGAAAACCACTGTCTTTCCCCGAATACAACGCACGCCGATTATGAATGTAATATTTATACAAGCTAGGTTTCCATCGGTCCCATCAGCCAAAGTGAGGGTTCATTTTTGGTTGAAGACTGCAGGCCGAGATAAGAAGAAGAAGTATGATGATGCTCTCTCTCTCACACACACACACAAAAAGCGCCTTCGTGGGAGCCTGGATTAGGCGCTAGCTTCTTATTTGTACTTTTTTCAAGTTTTTTTGTTGTTTTTTTTCGCGATTGTTCCCCAAAACTATGATGATGCTCTCTCTCACAAAAAAATAAAAAAAAATAAAAAAATATAAAAAAATGATGATGCTCTCACACTAAGACGGCCCTCTGTCGCTGGTTCTAAAGCCTTTTGCCGGAGCACTGCTTCCGATTTGCTCTTCGATTGCATGCATCAATCAGTAAGCCGGCCCTCTGTTGTTCGCAAGGAACTGGTTTTTCCACACAATCACAAAAAAAAACGGCCCTCTGTCTTAAAGTCTCTTTGCTGGACCGCTGCTTCTGATTTGCTCTCTTCAAAATTCAAATGCATGCATCTGTCTTGCTCCCAAAATAGAAGGCGGCATGGTAACTAATACGGCTGTGTATTTTGGCAGAGAAAAAGAGAAAAAGAGCGGGGTGATTTTCAAGGGCAGAGAAAAAGAGCTACAGCCTTCTATTCCGGGAGAATGGTTGGCATAACCGTGCATGCATGCGAATGTCGCTTCTAGCCCCGAATAGAAGGCATTGCTACTCAAGCTCTTTCTCTACCCTGGCAGTCAAATGAACCCGGTTTCCAGCGGGTGCAGCTGCCCCCAAAATAAATTTAGGACCCATCAACGTAAAAAAAAAAAAAGATTGGACCCATAAACTCCGGAGACTGCTACAGGGGGTGGATAACCATATCCGCCTTGGTGGCAGGAATTGCCCTGGGCGACACACACACACACACACACACACACACACACACACACACACACACACACACACACACACACACACACAAAGGGGCTCCTTAGACACTCGTCGGGGCCACTTTTCGAAGGATTTTGTCTTCGTTCCACGGGCTGTCACTTTGCAGGGAAAAAAAAAACAAGAACAGCCACCCAACCGACAAGACCAGCTGAGCACCGTAGCCATCATGTCTTGTATAGCTATATCTCGGGCAACTCTTAAACCGCCAGCTCACGCCCCCGGCCTTGCTGAAAATGCAACTCGACGCCTACAAAATTTTCGGAGGCTCGGCCTACCAGACGACAATGGCTGGCGGCGCCAGCCAAAAACGAAAGAAAGTTAGCCGCTGGTGGTTCGGAATAGCTTGGCGCTCAGTAAGGCGCCACCTCCAAGGCCTACAGTCTTCCCCCGAATACGACGTACGGTCATTATAGCTGAATTTGGTGTATCTTTCAGTCTAAATTCAGCTATAATGACCGTACGTTGTATTAGGGAGAAGACTGTAGGTCTACTGGTGGTTTGAGGGTAGGAGTCCCTATTATCAGGCAGAGGATGACAGTGATCAGCGTCTGGGTTCATTGTACACTGGGTGTTTGCTAGCTGTAGGAGTCTGAGCAACTGAAAGCCTTGCTGCCCCCTGTGTACGGTAATACACGATCGCTGCAGAGCCCCTGCCTTCTATCTTGTCTCGCATTCTTGCTGGTGCTAAGCAACTGGAATGTTGCCCCTCCGAGAATAGGACGGGCATGTGTGCATTTTGGCCCTTTTTGGGGTTAAAAAAAGAAAAAAAAGAAAAAAAAACTACGGTGGCTGTGCCTTCTCTTAAGGGGAAAGAACTTCAAATAAGCGAATTGTTCTTTTCTTATTATCAGATTGAAATTCCACAAAGCCACGCAAGTACGACGGGCAGTTTGAAATTCCAAAAAGCTACGGTTTTCCTACTGCCTTCTATCAAGGTGAAGGATCTAATTGTTCTTTTCTCATTGTCAGTTTGAAATTCCACATACCCACCAGAATAGGACGGACAATTTTTTTAATTTTTTTTAAAACAAAGACGGGTAATTTGAACCCCTGGACGTTTAAAGGGAAAAAAAAAAGGAAAAAAAAGGGAAAATCCAAAAAGCCACGGTTTAAAGTTTAAACGTTGGTTTTCCTTCTTTTTCCCCCTGCTAAAGCCGAGAGTTGAGTTGACATATTGTTGTCTTGGCCTTTTGAATGTTTGCATGCTGTTTTTTTTTTTCTTTTCAACCTTTTAAAACAGGTGGATTGTTCGATATCACGAGCACGACCCATTGCTGGAGGATCTTGAGGAGGAGAAGCTGACAAAGGAGGAGCAGGAGATTGCATGGCAGGCGTACCAGAATGACCTGAAGCCTGCGGTACAGGCCCTGCCGGCAGTGATGCCCCCTGCTATACAACCAACCAGTACGCAGTATGCATTTACAGCGGCAAACCTCCCATCTAGTGCGACCTTCTCTCCCACAAGCCCTATAGGGGACGGGATAAGGGGAGGTGGAGCATGCGGTATTCCAATATCCCCCGGGGGTGTGCACGGTAATGGGGCGCCACCGCAGCAGCAGGCAAGGCCTCGATTCAGCAAAGGCGTGGTTGACGCGGCGGCCGTGTCTGGACGCAGTGACGAAGTCTTAAGAGCTGTGATGGAAGACTACTGTGGGAGAATGAAAGATTCCATCCGTCCGCCGCGTGCAGATGTGCCGCCTTACCCATCGATGATTCCCGCCCAGCCGCTCGAATCATGCAGCGCGGAAGTTCACCAGCAGATGTTGCTTCAGGAGAACCTTCCAGAGGGTAATGGCTTCACTTGTAAGAGGTGCTTTCGACCCGTAACCCCGTCTCCGTGAGCCATGATGTTGTTGGTACCTTTTCTACGCATCTATCCTCTCTCTACTTGAGGCAGGCTTTGTACTGTTGTGATGACTTGGCCTTATTGAACGTTCGTCGTGGTCTTGTTTGCGTAGTCTGTGGAGTAGAGTTAAGGAAGCCGGGCCCGGTTTGTCCCGCCTCACTGCTTCCCGCTTCCCGCGTTCCTGTCTCGTCCGGATTCATTACGAATAGCGAGTTCAGAAAGTCGAATAGCAAGTCCAGAAAGCTGACCGGCGATCCATCTCGCAGGCTAAGTACGCGGACGTGGTAACGAGGTCCTATTTTGTGTCTGATTTGTGAAGGTTTATGCGACTTTACGGTTGGTCGTCTCAAGGAAGGCGGGCCCTCTTTGCCCCGCCTTAGCGCTTCCCGCTTTCCTGTCTCGTCCAGATTCGTTACGAATAGCAAGTTCAGAAGGTTGACCGGGGATCCCTCTGGCGGGCTAAGCACATGGACCTGGTAATGAGGTCCTATTTTGTGTCTGATTTGTGAAGGTTTATGCGACTTTACGGTCTCGGTCGTCTTAGTTCAAAGAGTCAGGAGACCGAATCATGACTTGTAGCAGTCTGGCCGGGTCCAAAGTTGGGCGGAAATTCTGAATCCATTGCAGTGCTTCCAGTGAAGAGAGGACGTTTCACAGTGCTGGTGGTAAAAGGATCCCAAAATTTGAACCCATGTAATGAAGAGCGGACCTTTGTCCACGTCCACGCGGCATGTGATGCCAAACCCATGTAACGAAGAGCGGACCTGTGTCCACGTCCACGCGGCGTGTGATGTCTCGAGTTCACCATGTGGATGGCAAAGCACGTAGAGGTCTTCTAGGAATCATCCACTCTGAGAGGACGCACGCGCGTGTCAGGAAGTAAGAAGATTGTGGGAGACAGCAGCAGGACTGGCGACAGGAGGCCAGGGCGGTTAGGAGGGAGAGGAAGGAGCTTTCTCCCTCAGCATTGTGTGGAAAAAAAATGGTTAATCTCTTGTCGGGTAGGGTGAGGCTTGGGAGTTGTGCACAAAGTAAAGTATGTTACATTCTCTGTCATCTCATAATGCATTTTGTAAAAGATATCATGACACAGGCTCGTCGCTCGTCAGAGATTCGTCAGAACCTGTATCTCACCAGCCGTTTGTACCGTTGACATCACACCCTGGGTTTGTGAAGGAATGGCTGTGAGTCTGTGACACGCCCCTTCCCTCCTCTACCCCCTCCAACCCGAGATTCCTCCAGTTGTGAGGGAAGCATGGCTAGAAGCCATGAATCGGGAGGAGGCGGGGGGGGGATGATCCATGCTTGCAGTGTCATCTTCGGACCACAAGCGGAACGACTGCAGATGTTAAAAAAGGTAAACCAATGGATGTGACCAGCGATACACCGAAAAAGTTGGTTGTTGGGCGGGAGTTCTTTCCACGTGCTGGCGAGTGGTTGGTTGAATAGAGTGGAAAGCTGGAGACACACTTCAGCAATCTAGCTGTCAAATGTTGCGGATGCAGCTTTCAGTCGTCAAACGGAGCTGGTTTGGCAGATTGAGAGAGACGACTCAGACGAGGTTTGTCTGTTAACAGACGAGTTCTGTCTGTTAGACGGACAAGTCAATTTCTTTTCCTGTGTGTGTGTGTGTGTGTGTGTGTGTGTGTGTGTGTGTGTGTGTGTGTGTGTGTGTGTGTGTGTGTGCCAGAGCATAAAACACTCATGGTGGTTTGAGGGGATGCCTGGTACACATGTATATATATGCATATATATGTATATATGTACGAAGGTCATGATGTTTGTCTCTCTCTGGGTTGTGTGTGTGTGTGTGTGTGTGTGTGTGTGTGTGTGTGTGTACGAGGATGAATGCATGAGGATTTGCCTTGTCTCCCTCAGCCAATGATTGATTTATTTGTCAGAAACATCATAGGAGATTTTCAGGGAAGTTACCTTGACTCTGCAGTTTGATCGAACGCAACAATTAAAATTTAGAACATAGTGAAAGGCTTCATGTCCTTATCACCCCCCGTCTTATCACGCAATTGGTTTCACTTGCTGGCTGCTGCCTTGGAGCGTACTCAAACCCAGGCTAGGCTTTTCTGTGAATGCACCTAGTTACCAGGATCAGGACTACATTCATTCAGTCAGGGTGTCTCTTGTGTGTGGCTTAGGCTATTCTGTGAATCAGGACTACATCCATTCAGTTAAGGTGTCTCTTATGCTATTTGGGCAGAGTGGGGGTGTGCAGGGAAAGGCAAATTTCCGTCCCATCTTCGTGTTGATTCCAGATCCTGCTGCTACGATCTGGGGCCCCGCAGTGGAGCATCCAACGGTCGAGTAAAAGCGACAGGAGCAACTGTAAAGTTCCGTTCGTTCGGACGGACAGGCTGCGCTGCAGTGGCTGGAGTTTTGAGGCTTTTTTTTTTTGGGGGGGGGGGGG